AACATTATTGCCTGGCTTGTCTTCAAGGAACACTTCTTGTGTCCCATCTTAAAAGCTGAGAACTGACCATGTACACTGTGTTCTTACATTAATATACATACAGCTGGTTTATACGGATTCTTTTTTCACTAAGTCTACTATGCAAGTAAGTGGGGAGTAGAAAATTTTTTGGTAACAGGGATTCCCACAGTCAGCTGAATAGCTGGTCCCAAGAGAGAGCTCTTGTGTCTCTGAAGTTTGCAGGATAGAAACTGGGGAAGGGTGGTGCAGGTGGTCAAATGTGACCGTGTATGGACCATGCCACAGAACTTTACCTTATTTAAGCTAGCCTGTAATGCCTGCCTTTTGCTGGTAGTTGAAGAGAAGCCATTTTCCAAGGCAAACTTTTCAGCTGTTAATTAAATTCACAATTTTCAAAAAGTAAAATATCTCTGAATTTGTTGATCATCTTCCCAGTCATTGGCTCTTACAGTGCTTTTGATGGGTGTAGGTTTATATAGGTTTGTAGTACTAATTTTCTTCCATGTGTATTTACAGGCAGAATCCGTCCTGTGACTATGCTGAACAGGCAGGCTCTCCAGTTCTATAGGAAGACAGGTTTTGCAGATTTTTTTTTAACCATTGGCTGTGGCTTTTTTCCTGAACCCCTGCCAGGAAGGCCTGGTGAAGAGGAGATGATTGTGTGTCATACCTGTATCAGAGAGTTGGATGCTTCCAGGCATGCTGATAACGCTGACTGCTTTGTAGGTGTTGCATGCTAAAAGAAGCACGTGGGTCTCCCACCTGCTGATCTCTGAGCACCTAACGTAAAATATCACAGCAATCTTCCACTTCATCCCTCTCGCGTTCTGTCCGCCTGCAACCCTGAAGTAGGCTGATCTACGAAACAGGAATTCCTAGTCAGAAACTGCATCCCGAGCTGAGAAGCTGGTGATGCCTTTGAAAACCAGAAGAAATGGTGGAGCAGTCGCTCAGCACAGGTGGGCGCTGCCATTACCTCCTGCCCTGTCTTTCAGACCGTAGCACCCACTTCTGTGTTTGGGGACTTCTCCAAAAAATTATGCACTTGAATACTGATGTCAAATCCAATACTCTAATTCCCAGAGAAGTGCCCTAACCACAAAACTATAGGCTATTTTGGGGGTTGCGCTACTGCCTGTCCTGGTCTGGGGCTGGATTGCTTTCAAGAATGCATGAGTTATAGGGCCAGAAGGTCGGTATGCAAGAGGGAGCCTGCCTTGGTAGATATTTTATGTTACACAGTAACTGGATACAAAGAAGAAATAAAGCTAAGGGCAGGCACAGTGATCCTGGGTCTTCCCTGCCTAGCTGAGTGCCCTGAACTCTCCGGATTACAGAGCTGGATCTTGGCATTCTTGCCTCCTTGGCCAAGGATTTCTTACACTCCTGGGTACCTGATAGCCAAGCTCCAGCATGGTGGGTTTGATGAGTTTATGAACTCATGCTTGGTGCTGATTTCCTTATCTCAAAGAGATAAAAACTTAGCATATGAAATGTAAATGCAGCAAGAGCTTGTTTGCTGTCTAGTCTAAGGTTAAGTTATTTTCTGCACCAGCACATGCACTGGAAAAAAGGTGTGGGGGGAACTGGCAGCTGCTGGCAAGGGCACTCAAAGAAGCTGAAAACTCACACGGGAGCTTCCACCAGCTTCACCCGTGCAGTGGGAACGTTGGGCCCAAGCTGGGCTTTGTCAAGTTGTAGAGGCATTGGTCTCTTGAGGCAGTTCTCGTTTGCCTCGTCTCAGCTACAAGCTGTTGATTCTGTGACACCTAAGTAGGACAGAACAGCCCTGTTCTTGCCAGAAACCAGATTCTTCTCCAGTACGTTTAGCGTTTCTTCTCATCCCGCTCTGTCTGCAGACAGGCAGCGTTCACCGTGTTGCTTTGTGTCCAGACCTGGTTTACCAAAGTGTTCTGTTTCACTGAGAATACTGAGTTTTCTTTTCTCTTTGCATGTGAGCACCAACAAGATACGTAGTCCTTGGCACCAGGTGACCTTGTTTGCACCTTACTTGCTTGAATAGGGGGTTTGTGTGCCAGGGCTTAGAAAGGGGTGATTTGCAGGCTAGTAAGGGGCAACCCTGTGATTAGAAATTCCACGATCTGACAGGATGCACGTTTGACCTGCTAGTGTAAAATAGATAATTATTCTATTATGTAAACATTTTAAGGCACAGGTTTGGTAAGGATCAATGACAGAAATAGGGGGTGCATTCATACCTGTCTGTAGAAATACTTGCTAGCATGTACTGCAGTGTTTGGTTTATAACCTTACAATAGTGGCTTTGATTAATAATGCTTTATTAGTTATAAACATAGACTTAACTGAATAAATCCTTCTTACTCTGTTGAATGGTTCCTCATGCCTACATAAAACTATTTCAGTAATTAGAAAGCTACTATAATATTTCTCTATATTGTAGAGTTTGAGTTGTTAGCTCTGTGTCAGCTTTCTTAGATTCCTACATAGGATTTCTACCTGACCCCATCCTTGACACAAAAGGGAAACGGTTTCAACTTGCATTCTGTGATGAGAAAGGGCGGGTGTGGTAAGACAGGCTTGCCAAAGAAAAGAGGAAGGGGGTGTGGGGAAAGGGTGCGTCTATCCTTCTGATGAGCTTCTGGACCTGTTTTGTCCTCTTCCCCGCCAGGATCAGAGAAATGACACTGGAGAGGCGATATCCCTGCTGAAAAGGACCAAACCCCTCCCTGAAGGGCAACAGAGTTATTACAATTGCTTTGTGGGCTTGCGTTTCAAGAGGAGAGTAGAAGAGTATGCCTGAGTGCTGGCATAAGGCATCTTGTGGAGAGCTCGCCTTTGCCTTTTTCTAGAAGATGTAGGCTTGTAACTGCTGGGTTTTTATCTTCCCTTGCTATATAAAACACAAAACAGTGGGGATCAGTTGTTTTATCTACTACTGAAATGCAGCCATCAGTGCAGAATAACATGAGAAGAGTTTGAAAGGAAGTGTGGAACACTATATTCAACTGAAACTAATTACCTGATTAGGTTTTGGCCTGGCTGTGTGGGTTGACATCCAGTGGTCTTGGCAACACTACCTGTGAGCAAAGCCAAGTCTAGTCCTGCTTCATTTAAAGACTCTGGACAAAACTTCTGGACTTGTGTGCTGAATGCTAAGCAGTGTGAAAATAGGCCACTGATTTAAAGTGCCCATGGCTACAGTTGGTGTCAGTGGGCAGCTGGCATGGTTGCAGATGAATGAGTTTATTTGGGTTTTAGAAATACTGGTTTCCATTTAAAGGTGGTTCTGTTTCAAGCTCACAATGTGGTGAAATTTAACTCTGTATCACAACATCCTCCATTCATATCTATAGGATTAGCACTTTCCTTTCCTTCAGCACTTCAAACTTCTCTCCTTAGGAATTTAGTCAAAGTCTGACTTTGAGATCTTGTAAGCTTAGAAAATCACGCAAACGGTTGTTATCTCACCTGGTCTGCTACAGTAGTTCCTTCTCTTTATCTCCATAGGGGTTAAAGACGTTAGGTCTGCTTTCTTAGGTGAGAAGTATTTGTTTTTGCTGGTTGTCCTCTTCTCTTGTACCTTTAGCCGCAAACTCTTTTTTGATCTGTTGGTGTCTTTGTTTGGAAAATGTCATGTTTTTGTGTTGGGTGTTATCTGTGCAACATCTCAAGTGTCTAGTATTAGACATACCTATATTTACTGGTGTGATGGTATTTTTTTGTCTTGGCATCACTCTACAGGCAAAAAAGTCATTACTTGGAGGGATTTGAAACTGTACTGGTAAGACAGGGATGAGCCTTTCATCTATCTGTGGGCTATTAGAAAAATACAGTCCATTAAGAACAAAGGTGAGCAACTTTCAGAAAGACTTGAAGTGTCCTTGCCCCCGAATGGGAAGCTTCTGGGCTGCACCCACTTCTGTCACCCTAGAGGACCTCTGCTCTCCCTTCCCAGGGAGAATGATGTTAAATGAATTGTTAAATGAGTTGTGGCCGTTCAGTGGTGAGCATTGACTTTATGAGGAAATTTGGTATGTCTGCTCTGATATCCTGGAAGTGCATTGAGACACATTACTAAAATGAATTGGACAAGTGGTTGATGAAAATCCAAGAGCTGGTAAGAAGTCCTCCACAGAACAAGGAATCCTAATAGACAACCATAGGAAAAAATATTTTTGCCAATTGGCTGACTCTTTTAACTTAGCAACTGGCTTGTGCTCTACCCTGTTCCTTAACATCTAAAGTAAATATTGAATTCTGTCCTGTTTACAAACCTTCTTAAACCATTTGCTTAAGAGAGGTTGCAGTACTGAAGTCCTCAAAGTTGTGTTTAAGCATTTCCTCTTACTGCAAGAATAAATCCATCAAGTTTTCGGCCTCCCACAACGACAACAAATGCAAGCCTGTAAGTGCCATAAAAGCCCCAAGAAACTTCAGAAGTAATTGAAAATAATAAAAAATATGCTTTTGGACACCTCTCGCTACTTGTGAGCGGAACGAGGCTGGGCAGGGACTCGGGGGCTGGAGAGGGAGATGGGAGTTCACCTTGTGTAACCTGGTATTCCCTTCCCCTCACCCCCACCGTCCCCAAATCAGCTGTCACAGTATTGGCAGGAGTCTCCTGGGCCTTCACTAGCCAGGAGCTTGCCCAGCTGTTTGGCCCGGGATTTCACAGAGCAGGAGGAAACCTTTCTGGCTGAAGCTTCTGTAAAATCACTGCTTCAGCGATCAAAGCAGCAGTGTCCCTGTGGGGGAAAAAGTCATTGGAGAAGATGGGGGGGGGGAGCAATGTGACTTTCCACAGGGCCTGGCCTCTTTGTGATGATAAATGATCACCCTGGAATAGAGCTAATCTCCTAGGAAAAGTGGTGGGATTGCAAAGGCGGCAAGATCTCCACTTCTTCTAAAAGCATGCGTAAAGTTCAGCTCCATTACACTTCTGTGTTTGAAAATGTCTCTCTCCCTCCCCTAACAGCTACTTGTGTTCCCATTGCAGGATGATTTGGAAATTTGCCTTGTCCGTTTTCCTGATGGCAGCGTTGGTTCGAGTAACAGACACGAGGAAAAACCGTCCTGCGGGTGCCATTCCCTCCCCGTACAAAGACAGCAGCAGCAACCACTCGGAGCGGAGGCAGCAGCTGAACAAGGAAGTGCTGGCCTCCAGCCAGGAGGCCCTCGTGGTCACCGAGAGGAAGTACCTCAAGAGCGACTGGTGCAAGACGCAGCCCCTGCGGCAGACTGTCAGCGAGGAGGGCTGCATCAGCCGCACCATCATCAACCGCTTCTGCTATGGGCAGTGCAACTCCTTCTACATACCACGGCATGTGAAGAAGGAGGAGGAGTCCTTCCAGTCCTGTGCTTTCTGCAAGCCACACAAGGTCACCTCTTCGACTGTGCAGTTGGAGTGCCCTGAGCTGGACCCGCCTTTCCGACTCAAGAAAATTCAGAAGGTCAAGCAGTGCCGGTGCATGTCTGTGAATCTTAACAATTCGGGCAAACTGTGAGAGCAGGTGTGTCGCTACTGCTTGGTGTTGCACCCATCAGATTTACTGCTGCCTCTCTTTTCCCACTGACCAGACTCTCCATTTTGTTGGTTTGTTTCTTCTTCTTTTCCTTTTTTTTTTGGTGTTTTGTTTTCTTTCAGGAGGCATCTCTCCAGCAAGGAAAGGCTCCTTGTCTCTTGCCTGATGGAATAATGCTTTTCAATGGGCTGCATTAGGCATAATGCATAAACCATAAAGTTTTGTTGTCGTTCCAATATCATCTGGCAGTTGAATCTTCTGGAGTGGAGCAGGCTCCCAGAAGTTGGGACTGATCATCTACGTGACCAGTTGGCTGAATCCAGCATTTAATGTTTCCACTGTGTGGAGTAAAGCCCTCTGCCCTACACTCCAGTCCCCTCCACAAGACAAGAACGCCCTCCCCGTGCTTTGGTCCGGAGCTTGGCTCTCCCACCTGGAAGGGCTGGGGTGATGCCCAGGACCAGGGCACTCAGATGAGGGACAATAACGAGGAGTCACATGTGAAAAGCAAGTGAGACTCACCAATGAGGCTCATCCCCTTAAGACAACTTTAATTGTGCAATGACACACGGTTCTGGGCTTGTCTGAACGACAGATAAGAAGTGAGGGGGAGAGGGCGAGGGGCTGGGCCAGCCGCCGTGACCACAGAGCAGACTGAGAGTGGGCTCTGATGCTGTTGTGGTTAGAGTTTATCGAACATGTGGTCACTGCAGCAGTGTTTATTTTGTAACCTAGCTATAGTAAACAGCTGTTTAAAGTATTCTAGACCTAGCCATGTATATTTTTCTTGTGGCAGAATATGCCAGAGATTAAAATGTGTTGAGTAAGAGACTGGGTTGCTAGGTCAGCTTCCTGGCTTAAAATGGACGTGGTTTATCTAGGCTTTTGGTAGGTTTTTGTGTGTTAGATATGTGTGTGTTTCTTACTCCAAAATGGACAATGTCCGTTTATGACCTTATATTTATGCCTGCTCAGACCAGGGGAGGTGGGAGAGGAGCTGAGAACACTTAAGGGAACGATGTTTCACTTAAGGATAAAAGCACTGTCGCACAAAGGACAAAATTTGGTCATTGCTGGACTGAATGCAAAAGCTGCATCAGTGTCATCAGGTTTTGGGAGTGGTGTCTCTCCCGTGATCGGAAATCACGTTAATGTGTTAGTGTTAAAGGACAAACTCGTCAGTCAGTGCCGCTGGAATGGGTCACAGCTGCAGGAGCAGGGAGGGAGTAAATTGTAATTGCCACAATACTGGTGGTCCACTAAATTTTTGAGTCCTACATAATCAGCATTGGTGAGCACTTGCAGTTTATTTTAAATCGTACTATGCTGTTATTCAGTTGATGGAGTTTAGCATGTCCTGTATATCCCATTTGTTCCAGTTATGATCTGTATTAGTCCCAGCTGCATTAAAATCCTGTGTCTCAAAACAAACCAGCCCTTTCCCCCAAACAAAAGCCCGTGTGTGCTCAATTGTCTGAAGCTTACAAATTAAAAATGACACGCTGACTCCCTGATGCATGTCTCACAGCTCAGCATCTGCATCTAGTGAAACCAGCTTGCTGTGGGAGCCCTTTTCCACCAGCCCCTTCACATGCAGCCGCTTCAAGGGGTTAATGTGTCGAGCGCTCTCACCAGCCAGGGGGGCAGTGCCACAGGTCCCTTATTATGTGAGACAGGCTGCTCTAAGAGGCTTTCGGGACTGAGCTCCACGAGAGCTCACCAAGCGGTTTACGGGGGTTGGCACGGGCAGGATGAGGTTGGTGAGGTCTGTTAGCCCTGTTTCGTGAACAGCCGTGGCTTTTCTGCTGTGATCTTTTGGCGTGTCAGAAGGGCACAGGGAGACTGCTGGCACAGGGGTTTGTTTTCAGGCTGTTGCTGCTGCGCTGCCAAGTGTCGTGCCAGCCACCGAATGGGCACCGTCCAGCCTAGGCTTGGGAGTGTTGGTGTGGGTGGGATTAGGGGGAAAGTGGCGATAGCTGTACTACTAAGACTCCGGGGTTCTCAGTGTCCATTGGAAAGAAAAGAATTGAAAGTGAGGCATTTTGGACTAGAGAGAGAAAAGCACCGTAGTAACTTCAGTTAAGAAAAATGTGCAAGAATCTTTATCTTTAAGCTATGCCCTGCCTGGGGTTTTTCACCGGTTTGCAATATGAATATGCTGCAGCTTAAAGCTCCTTCTAGGAGCTGTGTTTATGTAAAAACTGAGTTGAGCTTGTAATGGTTAAAACTGTATTTAATTCTTGTTTTATAAATGAAAACAAAAATGAAGAAATGCTTTAAGTATAATGTAATTATTTTATAGGTCTACTATTAAATTATAGATTAAATAATAAAGTTACTCTAGGGTTATATGGCATCCAGGTGTACGGGCTTTGCTTCAACACCTTGTGTCCAGCTGCTCTAATCAGTGTATTCTCCAGCCTTCTTTTGACCCTACCAGGCAGGTAAATGATGGCTCACCCTGACAGCTTGGGAAAATCTTGCTGCTTTCCCCTGTGTCCCTCACCCCCTTGAAAAGTACCTGCCAGGCAAGAGGGAAAAATAAATTGCACTAATCCTAGTTTCTGGAGTCAATTCTGCATACACAAATTCTGCCTTTTTGGTTAACTGACAAGAAGACAAACAAAGGTCCACCACTGGCTGCACTACTGGCATCATTTGTGGTAAAAGAAGTAACTATTACCCTGACCTAAGTGGTTTTGATTAATATACAGCTAGATTCTTATGTAACAGGCACCAAACTACTTATAGGAAGAAAAAAAAAAGTATATCTTAAGATACAGGTGAGCTGTAATGGTTACTGTCAGCTCTTGGATGAGTACAGTGCACGTCTCTCCAAAGGTAGGGCAGTGTTTTGGTTTTTTTCTTTTCTTTCTTTTTTCTTTCCAACTCAGAGAAAATATTTTTGCAAATAATCTTGAAGGAAACCTTTAGTGACAAAAGGGAGTTCTCACACTGAGGAATTAGCTTCCATGTGACCAGACGAGATGCCTGTCTTGGGTCTTGAAAGAAGGAAGCAGGAACACCTAGAGCACAGGCAGCGAGGGAGGGCTGTGTCCTTTACGGCACTGTAGCTGACACCTGCAGGAAGCCCTTGCTGTCTTCTCTTCCTCATTGCTTGCCCAAATCTTCTCACAGCTCGGTAATTTAATGGGTTTGGGGACTTTTTTTTTTTTTTTTTAGTAGTTGTTGAGAATTACTCTTTTGCTGTGCTTTAGCTGCCTAACCATGGTCAGGGCCCTCTGCTCAGAACTTACAAGTGCCTCTTTCAATCAGCTCAAAAGGAGCTCAGGCAGCCATCTCCTCCAGCACCCCTCTCTCATTTCCCCTGTCTCTTGGCCACTCTCCTGCTTTTCAGGTAGCTTCATTGCCCAGCACCCAGCTGAGCTTCTACTGGTGGTACAGCCTAGGCTCCACCGCCAGCTGTCCCAGCCTCTTGCTGCCTGACTGCTGACCTCTACCAGAAGCATATGCTGTCATCCAAAAAACTCCACCTTGTGGAAGCAATCTAAGAGCAAGGCAAGTCTGTCGGGGTAGATGAAAAAAGCTTTAGGTCAGATAGATCCAATATTTTTTAGAGTAGAGCGGTGATGTGGGACAAGGGAGGGAGGGGGGCAGCAAAAGCTAAGCTCTGCCATCACACAACTGCCGCGTTGGGTGAGTGACAAATGAAGATTCGCAGTTTCTAAGAGCTTAAATTTGAGCTGCATCTGGGAATAAATGAGAAAACAGTGCTGACTTAACAGGGACCCTTTATCTTCAGAAACACACCATCTTTTTGAGGCAATGGACTTCCCATTGGATGCCTTTACAAGTAGGTTGGATGAATGTCGGGTACAGCACAGGTACAGATGAGTCTGTCATAAGCCAGAGAATGTCCTGGAAACCTGTTCTGTAATGTGAATCACATTTGGTTGATGGGTGGCAGACCTGAATGGTGTGGGGCATAGTTTTCTGTCTTCTCACTTTGCTGACCTGTTCACACTATCTTCAAAAAAACTCACTTTCATCAGTTTTCACTTACCCTGTCCATAGCAGTTTGAAATTGGTGCAACTGAAGTACTGATATAACGGACTTGGCACAAACTCAGCTTTGCTTAGTAACCTAGAGTGTGCAACAAAATAATTGCAATGCAAAGACTTGTATCTTCTCTCAATGAAATTAACAACTGCTTCCAACCTTTTAAGCTGATCAGTGAAAAAGTGTGAAAAAAATCATCAGTCTGTGGAAGATGTCACTAATTGTATTCCCACTGCCCCTGTTGGTTAATACTTAACTAACTTTTGGAACTGCTTTGGTATGAAGAAAGGTGCTACAAAAAAACTAACCACTAGTGTGTCAAGAAACGTGACAAAGTACCATGCTTCTGAAAGGCTTTAATTCGCAAGCAAAACAACATGAATCTTCTTAGCTCCTCAGAACATACAGACTGTTATTCTCAGTAAGTCACATCTGCTGCTCAGGTATGAAAGTCCTTATTTAGCTGCTGCCTTTTTTTAAGTGATATGTGGTATAGGTGATCAACAGAGGCTCAGAATTTTGCCCATGAGAACTCTTGTAGGACTACAGCCTACTCAAAGTGTGACGTGCTTGATGTTGAAGTAAATGGGGGGAGAGGGGACCAATGGGGTGTCTGACTTTTTTAAAACACACCTAAACAAACAAGAGAACATTAGTCCAGAATTCTGTAAAAAGCTGAAAGTGCCACTGGAAAAAAAAGAGCAGTGGTGAAACGCATGCTGAGAATCCACTCTGGGAGCACTGCGGGTCAGTTTTGGTGCTGCACATAGGGGGCTACTTCACTTTGTATTGGAGTTTGGCAACAGGCTGGAGAGAAGCTATATGAGAGAGACGTTAAACCAAATAGGCTGGGCCTGAGTAAAATGAAAGGAAAATCAGCAGCTTGTATCTTGAGATCATAATATGGTACCACCAGCTGCAGTCAGCCTTTAACACTGTTCTTCGGAGAGAGAGGTTTGCA